AAGCATATACGGTTTAATAGAGATTTTGTGTATTAGAGCGCGGTAAGATACAAATCTAGAAGCTAAAAAAAAATACAAAAACAAAAAGAGAATTCATCATTTTTAAACACATGTAAATTATAGAGGAGCACTTATTAATATGGGCACACCAACTGCGCCGGTGCACATGCGCTAATTGCGGAAAGCAGAAAATGGGTGAAAAACAAAAAAAAAAAAAAAAAATTGAAAATAAAAAAAAAAATTAAAAAAAATATGAGACTAACTCTAATGTGAAAAGCAAAAACTTAAAAAAAAAAACAAATGATAAATACAAATATATTTGGTAATGGTAATTAAAAGAAGGTCGCAGACAGTTTGAAATGATGCTTTCATTCGTTTTTTATTTACTGCATTTAGCAATTATTTTAATTTCTATTTGTGTTGCACCTATTTTTTTTTTATTTTTTATTTTTTTTTTTGGTTTTTTCGTTGTAAAATTTCGCTTTCAAAGGCTGCTGCTAAATGCTTTTGGCATTTTTAGTATATAATAAAATAAAATCAAATAGTGCTTTTTTTTTTGTCAAGTTTCACTTTTGCACAAGTTGAATTTGCAAAAAAGTGCATAAGAGAATGCTACATACCGGTTTTTGGCATGCAACACACATTTATACATTTCCTGTGTGATATACCAAATGACCTGGACTGCCTGTTGCAGTCAATTTTACAATATCAACCAACTTTTTAAATTGTATTATATGCTTGAAATATATGTATATAGTATGTGTTTATATAAAAATTGTGCACGCACATGGAAGAAAACAAAAAAAAAAAAATTACTGACTGTGGTAGTCAGTTGCGCTGCGGCGAAAGAAATTGACCAAAACACCAGTAAAAAATCGCTGCAAGATGATATTGACCGTCAGTCAGAGCAGTAAACAGTACTGTGATAATTAGGTCAGCTGCTTTTGAACTGTTTGACTGCTTAAATTTCACACTTTCACTGACTTGTTGTAGTAGTTTTTTTTTGTTTATTTTATTTTTTGTATTGAGTATTTTTTTTTAAATCGTGGTTTTTTTTTATCTCAAGATTAATGCAAAAATTTTGTGCGATTTGGTGCAACTAATTGGTAAATTTTAATTAAAAACTTTTTATTTATACAAGTTTCATTTATTTTTAACTTGTCTAAACGGAAGTTCTTTTCCTTAAAAAAATCATAAAACACTTTTCACTCTTCACCTACTATTTCGCACATTCACTTGCGCACTTTATTATCATCATTTATTACCTCTTCAGGCACACGATCCAACAGCTTAACTCGCATAATTCTACGAATTGCTTCTAATACTCAGTCTGTAAATCAGCTTAACATTCACCGATAGTTTGAAAATTTAAAACCACTTTAATTAACACTTTTCACATAAATTTTTGTATTGCTTTTCACTTATTACGCTGACAATTCGCTACGGACACTTAAAATAATTGCTGCTCAACTTCTCAATAAATGGTCGATTAGAGAAAAGTCTCGATATAAAAAACTTCAAAAAAAAAAAAAAAAAATTAAATAATAATAATAATAATAGCAATGAAAAAAATGGAAAAGAAGTAGAAAATTTTCAAAAATAAATGTAATTAAAAAAAATGTATTTTTCACACTTTTTTATACCGAAAATTCTTTAAACTCGCTTGCCTCGCGTTCGCGTTGCTTTTTTGCCAGTAACTGCTTGACTGACAACATTTCGCTTGCAACACGTCAGTTTTGTTTCGAATTGAGAATTTTTATTTTGGTCTGTAGTTTATTTGTTGCTTTATGGTAGTTGGAGTTTGCTCTGACTGCTCCAGCTGCTAATTGTTGTTCTTGTACTATGTGCAGCATGGGTGTTTGGAAAAGTTGGCAAAGAAACTGCCATGAGACTAACATATTTATGTATAGTATTTATATATATATGTGTATGTATGAACATTAACAAAGATCAAATCTCTTGCGTTGGGTTTGGATGCTTTATGGCTTGGCAATAATTTTGAGAAATTTTCAATGAGAGCGGATGATGCATATACGTGTATGTATGTATGTATATATATCTATTGTTTTATTTAACGAATAAAAGTAGTTATTTTGTAGTATTTGTAATAGTATCTTCGCTCTCTGCTAACTAGGTATTTATAACGGTTTCGCCAAACTGGTCTCTAGTTTCATTGCTTATTTATCTAATGATAGTTGAGTTTGATAATGTTTGCGAGTCTTATTTGTTGGAATGATGTGCTGAGCTGAAAAATTGCAGACTCTGAGAGGCAGGAACTTTATCTTTATATGTGGCATACTTACATATATTATATGTACTGTATGTATGTAGTATATATGTAAATCTTTCGTGCTTGTGCTCGTCAATAAAATGTTTTCTAAGAAGCTGCTGGGCCGACTTTGATAAAAACTTTCTGTGTTTGCTGAAGTAAGTTTGAATAAATTCTTTTTTCTAAGAGGCGGTACAGAGACCAAACTCTTCGTTAAAATTGCTCTTCTTCTCACCTATCTGGACAACACGAATTAATCATTCGGTGAGCTATGTCAATATCGCCATATATCTCGTTTATATCATCGCTCCATCAGCTGCGGCATCAATGTATAAAGGACGATAAAACTTCCACTAAACCTTTCTCTTGCTCTTAGCTCCTAGCGCCTAGTCGTCAGATATTGTGATCGTTCATGCTTCCGCGCCATAGAGTAAGACGAAGGTAATGAGGAGGACTTTGAAGAGGGCTTGAATAGGAGTTTGATCTTTTTTTCATCGTAAAAGGCTTTGTCCTGAATGGTTGACGCATCAGCCCACAGCCTAAGCTACTGATCGTTGAGACCTACTTGGCGGGCGTATTATGCGTAAGATGTATACAACCGATAAGGAACGATTTTTCGGGAAGTGGACCAGAGTGCGATCGTTTAATTTGCACGAAACTTGGTTGATTGGGGCATATTTTTACTTCCGAGAAGTGGACCCGGTACCGATCAATTCAAATAAATCGAATTCATTATTACAACGTTTGAATTTAAGTTTGGCATACAGATAACTCTTTGCCTGAATTGATAAGCGGAACACCTTTTCTTCCATGCCTTAGATTCGATAGCTCATTTTTACTAAATATGTGCTAAGTTCAATACGTGTAGATTTGTTTATACTAAGCCGCTCCCGAACGGCTGATGGCTTTTTATGAGAAGCTTTTGATTTTTCATGTCAGAAATACACTCGGAGGGGTTGGCATTCCTTGTCGATGGGCGATCGCATACATATTTTACTTTTTAGATCAGGCTGTAATAAGTAGGTACAGTAAGAGGAGGAATGCTGAAGGAGAAGAAAGAGAAAAGGCGTAGAATCTCAATTTTTACGATTTACTGATATTCAAATGTTAATTATTTGACTTTCATTATCGATCCTTTGAAACTACAATATAATTGGGCATTACAGGGTGTTTTTCTCATCAATTTTCTAATGTTGAGAATTTTTGAAATTTCTTGATATTTGGATAGTGATATTGATTTTATGGTGAATCTTATGCACTCGTAAAAATATTACGAAGCAAATTTTTTTAATTATTATTTTCGAAAGTTCCTGGATTTGTTTTTCTATAAATATATATTATGGGCTGAAGACTACAGTAGAGTCCCAGTGTTGGTAAAAGTTGTCAATCTGTAGTCAAATTGAACCTAAAAACTGACCTGCCTTATCAAGGTATAATTGTACCTGCTTATAAAAGCTATGGGGCAAAGAATTTTGGTTTGATCCTGCCCTAAGTTTGGTTTAAAAGTAAATTCAGTGATTCTTTTATTAATTATTGACGAAAACAAAAAAACTGAAAAAATGAATTATTTCTTTTTATTAAATTAATTTAATATTTATTTTTTGGCATTCTACTGTAAAAAAAATGTTTTGAGATAAAAAATTTTTTTCTTGAATATTAAATTCAGATTTTTGTGTACGAAAATTTCGTCTATTTTCAACTTATTTCGTTGTTTATCATTTTTATTATTGCTTGCTAATCATTTATAAATTTCGAGTACAATTTTTCATTCCTTCTCTTCCTCACTTGCTGTTTTTAAGGAATTTTTCTTTTTTTAATTTGCCTGCCCCCTACGATAAAACAACACAATATAGCGTTTTTATATTCCCTGCGTTTGGGTAATATCATATTTTCAGTCAAACTAACTATGTAAGCAATTACTTTGTTTATGTTTACTCTACTTCATTATAAAGCGCCTAAAAGCATGCTGCTACATTCTTGCCCTAATAGTGCCTCCTCACCATAAACGAGAGTAACTTACTAACAGTAGGTAATATAATTTATGGGCTAGACGTTAAGAAAAATGTTTGAAATTTCCTAATTCTTATAGTTTGTGAAGGGTGAATGTTTTGTTGTTGAATTAATTTTTGACTTTCATAGGAAGATAATAAGGAAACTTTTGAATGGCTATCTTAGTTTCAGTTTTTTAACCCGTAAATATAAAAACTTAAAATTTGCAAAAAGGCTTAATTTTCCATGCAGATATTTCTATGTGTCATTAGTATTAACATAAATTTTGTATAAGGGGTCCAAGTTTTGGCCGACCTAAACTCTGAATTCCTTGTTTTCTATGATGACTCAGTGTGAATTTTCTTACAGCTATTTAGCTAAATTCCATTGCAAGATAGCATATTGAAGCAAAACCTCTAATAGAGGAGAAAATCTCACCTATACATCCCACTACTATAAGCTTAGAAGTAGCGACTATTTCGGCCAATGCTCTTACGGTTTTGCAAAAGAGTAGTTAAAGCCGCTTTATATTGTATAAATACATATGTTTACGTTTATAGGCCTGAAAATTCTCTGTAGTAAAACTAAGAAATTGAAATAAGTATTTTACTTTCGTTTATTTAAAATTCAATAAATTAATATAAATTAACTTACAACTAAGCCTACATAAACAGGCAAATAAATATTGTTTTAATAACCTCATAATGCACTCATCTCCTCTTTTCCACACAACGCAAATTACTCAATGCAATGCTTTAGGCAATACCAAATTTAAACTTCGCCCATAACCACCATAACCACTACCACTATGGCCGCCACCCATCATATGACCACCACCGCCGCCGCCGCCGCCGCCACCGCTGCTATGTCCTTCGTCATACGAGTGACTTGAAGTGTAAACGGGTTTTGAGACGATTTCGTATGTTGTCGATTTACCACCGCCGCCCGATGCTAGACTCTTCAAACCCAACACACTAGACAAGGTCAAGGCCATTAGTGCCGTCATGAGTGCCTTGCCAGCCATTAGTGCCACAGCACCCATACCAAGAGCCATGAGAGTGCCTGAATAATTTGAAGAGAAAAACATACATATAATAAAAATCCATCTTGATTTGCAAATAATTTTCTATCAACCTTTCATCATGAGCGCAGCCGCAATAAGTGCCTCCAGACCACCTTTTTTGCCAAATTTTCCCTTACGTCCCGTTTCCACCGCCGCGTTGGCTTCAGTCATTGTTTCGCTGTCGATCAATTTGAAGCGTAGATAATGTGTTTGCAGAAAATTACTCATTTTATTCAAAATGTAGCCATTCAATCGTGAGTTGGGATCGTTGGGATAACTGCGAGCAACATCTGTGGTGTATGAAAAAAATAAAAATCAAAATATAAAATTCATATATTTAAATGTGTTTTAAATGGATAGAATTTGTTATGTTATTAATATAAAAATATAGGATAACTCCTTGACAACTAAAAAATAGAGGAGAAAGTACGAAATGACGAAGTAATATTCACGATAAATGCAGTGAGCTTTAGTTGGACGGAGAAAAGACAGACGATGACGAGGAAGAGGCAAAGTATAACCTCAAATAGTATATATAATATATATAAATATATATATGCATTTAATATAGATATTTAGTCAGATATAGACGAAAACCCATTCAATAATGAATAAAAGAGCAAGGGTCGAAAATCGAGTCTTTGCTGAAAGTAGAAAACTGCAAAATAGTTTTTATAAAAAGAGCCATTTCGGATGTTGTGGGATATTTATTACTCGACAAATTGATCCAAAAACGTCAAATATTAGATTTCCCTATTCCTTGTCTCACTATGTGAGAGAGATGCAGTCCATAGCAGAGAACTGAATGAATAAACTCTGACGGTTGAATTAGTGTACGCTGAATCTTGGCTAATAAATCTAAATGTATTAATTTTATACTAAAAAAAGAGTATATTATTATACAGATCATTGAGCAGAGAGAACAATACTCGTCTATTCGAGAATATTTAACACATTTCATAAATATTCAGCAGGCGTTCGGAAGCCCAGGCCAAGAAAAATATTTGAGTCGAATATTTCCTAGTTTTATAATGTTTAAGGCCAGCTCTTTGGTTGGCTTGTTTATCACAACAAAAAATTTAAGTCACTGATTTTGACTTTGACGGCTTAAGTATTACATAAAAGAAAAATTTCGGTTTTTAATAATTTTCCATCAAAATGTTATGTAAAAAATTTAATTATACCTTTTCGTACAAAAATAATAGTTTTTAAACAAATAAAAAAAAAAAAAAACAAAATAAAAATTCATAATTTTGAAGCAAGTTTCTGATATCTTTAGTCGTCTTTGGGTTATGTAATTATAGAAATATTCACATTTTTAACGATTTGCTGCTGATATCTCGGAAAATTCAGAGCTCGTTCAAACTAAAAGGAAATTTTCCTTTCCTTTTTGTGAATTATCAAACCGATAAGTAATATGTGTGTGACAGAATAAAACAGTGTAACAAAAGAGTAGTGTGAGCGCAAAGAGTGTATGCAAAAAAGAGATGACATTTATCATATATATATTATGGCCTTAAACGAGTGAATTAAAAGCGAATTTAGATATTAGTTTTGACCAGAAGGGCTTAGATTTTAATCAGTGAACTTTACAAAAAAATCAACAGAATAAGTAATAACAATAAAATCAAGACCAAGAAATTACACAAATTGGCATATTTTTTTTTGTAAATCGAAAAAAAAAACTAAAATAATAAATAATTCCTAACATGACCTGGGTAAAATTATGCTTACAAACTTTAACTTTTTATAAAAAGTGTCTGATTTTTTTCGAATATTTTTGAAAATTCTTCCTACTTTTAATTTATACACTTTACCACTCAACTCAAAGAGACACTCACCTGCCATTAAATCATTGCTCTTCACTTCCGTTGCATTAACATTTCGCACCACACTAATGCCAGGCACCACCACCAGCTCGTCCCTCTCTGCCAAGCGTTCCATAATTTTCACAAATTCAATTTTCAAACACATCCAACTCAACTGCGTCCGACACTCCTCAAAGGCGCGCCGTATAGAGTCACGCTTATTGCCACCGGCACTACTACTACTGCTGCTACTGCTGCTACTACTACTAGCTGCGTTTGTGGTATCTGCTGACGACGTAGCTTGTGAGGCTGGCGGCGCATTTATGCTATTCTCACTGATGTTATCCTCATAGGCAGGCACTGTGCCGGCAACGGCGAATTTAAATAGTAAAATAATCAAAGATAAATGGAAAAGATACTCGAAAGTCCTTTGTGGCAACATTGTGGCAATTGGTGATTAAGTACGATTATCCTTTTGCCTGGACTTGTAGTTATGACTGTTGCTGTTGCTGCTGCACTGTCCGTGTGTTGTATGCCACACTATCACTAACCACCGACTGTTGGTCGACATTAGAGTGATCTCAATTTTATACGATAATAAAAGCAATTCAAAAGTTGCCAATGAAAATGTTGTTAACAAAATTAGACGCAAATAAGCTGTGGCAAAGAAAACAACAACATTTGTAGCGGCAGCAGTAAAATTTTAAGATAGCAACGACAAGAGCAGTTTGTTGTTTTGTTTTTTGTTTTTTGCTCCCTTTCACTGTGGCAGCATAGCGGAACTACAGCAAATGAAAGGAATTATGGGAGGGAGGGAGGGCGATGACCAAGGCATATGCACTTGGTATAGAGGAGAGAGGTCGGACTTCGCGCTCAAAAATACATTTCGTTTATATGCAACAGCGTAATTACATCTTAATAAAATTTTTATTTAACCATCAAAAGTTGTGCTCTCCATCTTCACTACATACACTCTTTCTACACATTTACCTAGTACTAAGAACCACTCGATTGGCTCGCGCTAGCAGCGGCGGTTGTGGGAAAAAAGAAATGGAAAACTCTCAAAAACAATTAAAAATCATTAGCCAAAGTAGTGACAGTAGCACAAATTCCGAAACTCAGTGAGGCAGTGCAACTCACGGTATACACACATACACATACATATATACCTTGGAGTGGTCAGCCCAAAACCACAAGACCCAAGCTAATATGAGTACAAATCAAACTGGTGTAGAGCTGGACTTAAAAGTGATGTCTTGAAAACGAAAGTTTAACTGCTAGACCTGTGGTCATGTGGAAGGGGAATGGGCGATATTTGGCTTATAACAACGCCCCACTGGCACTTTCCCTTGGTATATGCCCAGCACAAACGAAACATATATAAGAAATTTGGAGAAAAAATTGCAAAGTAAAACCATAACCGAAAGTAATAAATATAGGAAAATACAAAAATTAGCAGTTATAACAGTAAAGAATAAGTAAGAAAGAGCCAAGGTTGTACGGGTGAATATCAATTTGCCGTTAGCAGCTATACAAAGTACACCTTTAAGAATGTGCATGACATAACCAAATCTTTTAAAATCAGGGTAAACTCATTTGCATTCTGCTAGAAATAATTTGGTTACTGACCCAGTTCCGCCTTTTACAATTTTGGCGTACGTTTCCAAAGCCGGCTCGGTAAATTTGGTGCAAAATTTTATCATTCGCAAATTGAGTCACTATCTCTTGAGTCCTTGACCATTATTCGCGAAATAGTTGGCAACTTATTACCAGGTGAACCTTTCCGGAGCGTTGACTTGGCTGTGGCAAATACTGTCTGAAAACAGTTCATCCGAATTATAGTCGGAAGAAATCTAACTAAAACAGGACTTTATGGTTGGGTGTTCGTTGCTCCTCGAGCGTACAGCATCCATAGAGAAAGTATTACCATGGTAGGAAGTACAAAAGGAGCTAGAAAAAGCTATTATACGTACTGTATCGAGGTTCAGCATGGCTAGAGGGCTTTAAGTAGCTCACTCTCCAACAGAGCTTACGGGTACGTGGCGGCCACTGTAATTCGGTAGATTTCCTTACTTGCTTTGCGGGAACCTTGCGCATTGTTCATATCAAGAAAAAGTAATGTCGATCAAGAAATCACAAAAACGAGAGAAGTCTGGTTTCACATCTAACAAGAGCAAGCATTGTTCCAAAAAACAATATATCGTATTCAATGAACAGGAGCCGAGCTCGCTCTGGGCGCAACAGCTAATACCAATACTGAGGTTTTAGCTTAGCCTAGCACCAAGAAAGCAACAACATTTGAGGCAGCTGGAATCAAGCCAAGTGACCAAAGTCTGGCTACGAGGTAGAAAGGGAAGGAAGATATCGAAAGTAAAGATGATGGTAGTAATTCTGCCTAACTATAAGGTCGACGTTGTAATAAAGGCAAGGTTCTCTAACTTGTCCAAAAGGATTCAACTACAACTGCCAACAAATAGACAGCTTAATCAAAAGCTGCATTGCCTATTTTCAAGTTCAAACCGTCAGCAGAAGCGTTAAAAAGAAAAAGGTCAGCTGAAAGTACGAAAACGAATGGCATAAAGCCCAAGAAGTCCTTTCCTGAGGTGACCCCCAAGTGCATTATTATTGGCGTACTGGATGAGGGTTATCCTGAGGGAAAAACTCTCAGAGGCACAGATGTCGTCTGGTCCTATTATTTTGATGATGTCAAGAGTTCGATCCAGCTATACAAGCTACTATTTTCGATGTTGGAGAAGGAAATGCAAGAGCCAAGTTGGTAGCAGTCTACAGAAACGATATTCCATCTAGACTAAAACCGAGAGTCTGCTTCCTATAAAATATTATAAATTATATAATATATCTTTATCAATGTCGTTGAGCTCTCACTGAAGGCTTGAACCGATTCTGATGAAATTTTTATATTACATTCGAGTGGATTCCATTCTTTGAAATTCTTTTATTTCAAGAAATATATTTATACCGATTAATAGGACTGCCCATTTGTTAGAAAAACGTGCAGTAAGCAGTGACTCTTTTTTTGCTATTCAATTCACTCATAATAGAGCACTCGGTTTCAATTCACAAAAATAGATGTGGAGGTGAAAGTCTGTTCTTCTAGTAAACATATCCATTTCCATTTAAATCTATTATTTTAGTGCTGAGAAAAGTTAAAGTTACAAGAACAATACAGATATATGTTATGCAGCAAGCTATGCTGGGTATAATAAAACGGGTAATTAGCAACAAAACTATAAATCTCCTCTAAATTTGACCACAACAACAACGACAACAACAATAATAATGAAAGAGTAAAACAATTAAATGTTAACGGCGACATTGACACTGAGAAAGCATGAGACACACATTCTACCGCTATGCTTTATGTTGTATGTGTAAATACAAGCCACAATAGCTTAGTGGTTGGCAGTGCGTAATATTATGTGTAGGTCCATGCTTGGCTCAAGTCCTGACTTTGTGAAAGTCCAAAATGATAGAAAATTAGTTTAAATTAAAAAGGTTTAGTTGACTTTTCTCGACCGGAAATAAATCCCTCCGAGTGTGTATCTAATTAAAATACCCCTTAGTTCTGTTGGGTTAGCTGATGGGCAGCAATAATTGTTACTGAATTTCTACTGAACCACGTTCCGTGAGGCGAAAAGCCTGTAAAATTTGCACTAAGGGAACACATTTTTTATATTTCGGTACTGGCGAAATTTTACTGACATTTTTCAGCAAGCAGATGAGTTTGATATTTTATGCGTTTTAGTTTTGTAAATTTTTTGAGGTTATAAAAAATCTTGAATACAAAATACTAGGCTCAAAACATTACGTTGTACATATATACAATTGATGTTTGCAGGATTTTAGTAGAAGAAAATATTGAATGAAATGATAAGACAATGAGATTAGTGAATCTCTGGATATGCCTGTGTCGGCTACTCAAAATAGTATCGCTGCAGCGTGCAGTTAAATGAAATCAGCGCCCATAATACAAGCACAGTGGTAAGTTAGTTGTAATTTTTGAAATATTTTTTTTTTAATTAACTGTTTTATTTACAGGAAATATTTCGTCTTTGCTTCGTTCGCTATTAGACACAATCGATCCTCTTTTCCTAGGCTTTTACTTATCTGGTCTCAAGCCATACTTATAAGGTCCAGCCAGAGCACACCCAAATTCCAATGAATTACTCTGCCGGCCCCTGCTGCTTTGTTGTTCTGCGGGAAATCGTTATTTGAACCTCGCCATATTCGAATAATGGAACCTCTTTGCCATTGTCATCATTTGTGGTTAGAGGATCATCATCTCCGTATATTTCGCTTTCATTGCCATTTAGCATGCAGAAGAAGTCTTCCCTCCTTGGCTCTTACAAGTATATACTCCCGTCTTAAAGCCTTCTGTGAGTCACCGCAACTTTTCAAAGAATTTTCGAGCTTCTCATGCTCTTCACACTCATGCCTTTCTGTCTATTTCTTTTTTGTCTGCAAATGCTTATCTCTTTACAACTTCAGGTCTTCAACGAGGTATCTCATGGCTAGCAAACAAACATTCACAACATAAATAAAAAAAGTTTCCAATTACAAACAAAACAAAAGGTTAAAGATGAAAGAACTCCCCTGTGATCTTTTTTCAACTAGTCGATAAAAAAGTTAAAGAGATTTATATAATTATTTTTTTTTTGTTTAAGATCTACCAAGAATACAAATTTAATTTATACTCCTCATCTTTTTTTCGGTCAAAGGAGTGTCGTTAAATTTTGAGCTAAAAATATATAACGAAACATTTTGTCTTTGCAATATTTATTAATGAGAGGCTTGAGTTTCATATGAGCTGTTTACATAATAAGAATTATTTTAAAATTTATACTTTTTTGCCCACTGTAAGGTATCGCTACCGTACTGAATATTCGCAGCTGTAATAACTGAAAGTGCAGAATCATTAGCAGTAAATTAAAATCAATGCCAAGACAGAGAATGTCAATAGAAATCAAGTAAGTCAACGTCAACGAATCGCTGAGTGAAGTGCCCACTCTTAATTTGCTTTTATTGCATTGTCTTCCACAACCGACTGCCGCCCGCATTTGCCATGAGTCCGTTTGGTAGTGGCGCTCCACATCGTCATTGCTGACATTTATAGTTAGCTTTAAATCTTCACTTTTATTTTCCGCATTTCATTTCATCCTCCCATGTTCAAGTTCAACTAACCGTGATGTTTAGTGACGTACTTACACCTACATAAAGATACATATGTACATATATGTGCGTCGGCTTTCATGTGAATTGCTGTTTTTGCCTTTTAATTAATGTAGTAGGGTTTTTTTTGGTATCTTTAGCTAATTATAATGTCACAGTTGTAAAAAAGTAAGAAGTATACGCAGGCAATTAAAGTCATGCAAAAAAAAAAAACAAAAAAAGCAGAAAATAAGGAAAAAATGAAGAAAGAAG